AAAATAAATTCATGTAATTTTAATCAGAATTATCCTGTAAATAATTTTGATATGTTTCAAATATTGATATATCTGTTTTCTTTATATAAATAATATTTATATTAATATATTCCATTAATTTTCTTGTGGTGAGGTGGGCAGCAAACAAATTTAATAAATAATTTTCTTCAGGAACTATATAGAATATTTAGAGTTTGTACCAATGTGATAATCAGTGTACAATGATGCCTTTGTTATGGAATGGGCACTTCGGGACTTAGCTAATATTCTGGTGCCTTAAACTTGCTTCCATGGCAAAGAAGATTCTGTTTTCATTTGATAAATATTTAAGTTCTGTTTTCTGCAGGCAGTACGGTGGCTATGAATATTCTCAGCAAGGTGGATATGTCCCTCCAGAGATAATGCAGCCTCAACAGCCGTACACTGGTCAAATTTTTCAGCCAGCACCAGCATACACACCATCTTCATCACAATCTTTCTATGGAAGCAATTTTGAGGATGAACCTCCGTTACTAGAAGGTTTGATTTTTATTCATTGCAGAATTCCATGTCAGCCAAAATATATGATCAAATCTACATAGGAGTAATCATAGCTGATTATGAAGTATATGTGGATGTATGTATGTTAATGTAAAGACAGGATTTTTTAACATTTAATTTTACTTCATTTTTGGCATTTAATTTCGCTTCATTTACTTAGGTAGCATAATCTCTTAAGAAAACTAAATGAAGCAAAAGAAAAAAAAACATACGAAATTGAGATGGGGTGACCTTTTACAAATTAAGATGACTAATGCAGCTAGTTATATACTTGGTCTCTGACTTTTGGTTATCTAAGAGGATCTCCAATTTAGTACATATATATTCTACAATCCAAGGCTTCTGCAAAACCCCGAAGATCTCACTATTTCAGCAGGTGTAGGGGCAGAGTGGGTTATGAGCTTTTTTTCTGATATGCTTTTTATATTTCTCTAATTGGTTTTGTAGGTTTTCCTATCTGGGTGCTTGGTTATTTTCTGTTGTAAATTATTGTTATTTGAATTCTCTACATTTTGTAATTCACAAGGGATGCAACTATAATTGAGAAGGACTCTTTAAATTTGATTAATCCATTAAATCTGTGTTCTTAATTTGTTCTACAGAACTAGGAATAAATTTTGACCATATCTGGCAGAAGACTTTAACAGTACTGCATCCATTAAAAGCTGCAGATGGCAACATTATGAATGAAACTGATCTGGCAGGGCCTATGGTCTTCTGCCTAGCCTTTGGAGCCACCTTATTGTTGGTAAGATTTCATTACTGTAGATGTAGTCCTGTCAGTTTGAAAGTTACAAGATTAAAGCAAACAGAAATCAAGACTTGATCATTTAAATATCAGTAATTTATAAAAACAATGATACATAGGATTGAATATAATTTCTATTGAAGAATGTGAGTTTACAGTCTTATGGTCATTATTTGGAGCCTAGTCCCTGATCCACAAGGCGGGAAAAAAAAAACTTGCTGGATTTTTACTACATTTACTACACTCATAAAACTATAATTTAGAACAGGGATCCTCAACCCCTGGTCTGCGGCCCAGTGATGTATACCATGTGTCCCCAAAAATAAGACCTGGTCATATATATTTCTTTGCCTCCAAAAGAGGCACCAGGTCTTATTTTGGGGGGATGTCTTTTCCACAGTCTCATCTCGCAGTGGCAGCGGCACCAACAGCCCCGCCCAGCCAGCCCACTTCTGCGGCCGAAGGAAATGCCTTTGCAGAAAGGCCTCTGCAGCCGAGAACCAAGCTACGGATTGAATCTGTAGCTCAGTTCTCAACTGCAGAGGCCTTTCCGTAAGACCTTTGATGGTGAAATGCAGGCCAGGGGGAGACACAGAAGAAGTGGGCCGGCGAGGGGAGGCAGGTATTGATTCATGGGAGACCTGACTGCAACAGTAAACGGGTGTTGGGTGCATGGGGCAGCTCCCCGCCCTAGCTTGATTTTTAGGAGTGTACCTCGCCCCAAAACTAGGGCTTATTTTTGGGGTAGGACTAATTTGATTTGATTTGATTTTATTTTATTAAATTTATACCCCGCCCTTCTCCCGGAGGACTCAGGGCGGCTTACAGCCAGTTTAAAACAATGATATAATACAATACAAAATTTAAAAAGATTAAAAATAACTATTTAAATTTGGCCGTTTCTACTAAAAATTTAATTTAAAACCCCTTTAAAATACCCCTAGGCCAGTCCTGCCTGCTGAAATAACCAGG